TATATATATATATATATATATATATATATATATATATATATATATATATATAAAAAATGTCATTTTAAGAAATAGTTTTTAGTGATCCGGGGGTACCTTTAACAATCCCTTTCCAGACTGGTGCTTAAAGAGTTAACCACAAACATTAAAGGGAGATTGGTGTGGGGTCGTTCACAAGCTAAAGATTAGAAAATATGAATCTAATACTTGTGTCAGTTTCAACATGAATAAGGCCTCTATCGCTTTTATGCATGATCATCTAATGCAGTTATTGAGCACCCTGCTTGCTGCTGAGAATAGCAAGACAATTTTTTTTAAAGCCTTTTGAAGGCTGTGCTGCTTAATGTACTGTTCCACAATATAGATGATAAACAACAAGTCTCTATAACAACTGCTAGATATATCCTATGTGACAACTGGTTCTTTAAGGTAAGCTCAGGGGACTTTATTAGTACCCATGGGTAGATCAACTGTTTGAAAGGTAAATAAAATACTCAGGCTGCATTCAACAGCAAAAACTTTCTCATAATGTTAAAAGCCTAAATACACATCTATCAAGGCCAGATGTTGATCTTTGGAAGATATAAAATAAGATACAATAAATAAATAAATAAAAATGTAAATTGTAAATGTTAGAGCGTAACACTTCAGGGGAGTCTGTTATAAAATACGCCGACACAGATCCTTTTTACTCTGTTAACAGTCAGCCTTTACTTTAAATTACCAAAAGCTATTAGATAAGCAAAAAGAAAGAAGAGCTGAAGAGAGTACCTAAAACTGTGGATGCTCTACAATGATAATGCAAAAAGGAAAAGTGCCTTCCTTTGTATGCTCCTAGCTTCAGATATGTAGTAGTCGGCTATAAATCTTTTTAAAAATACGCTATCAGTAAGTTTAGAAAAATAATGATTTTTTTCCCTATCAAATAAAAGCCCAAAATCTTAATGTTGGATTTGTTTATGTTAATAAATGTAATAATATGCTGCTGCAATAAAATAAAACATTTATTTTACAACCTTGTATACATCTTTACCAGTGGTGGCAATTAAGATGGCCAATACTGTGACACCAGCAAGGACTCTGTTCTAAGCAGCAAAAAAATAAAAATAAATAAAAAATAAAAAGGGGCTGCAAATGAAATTTAATGCTTAAATAGATCAATGAACAAACAACCCCGAGGACATGTAATAAGGCAGCTGCTGATCTGTTCCAAGCAGTAGTAGATTATTCATTAGATAGCAGTATGGAAGGCCAAGAAAAACTTCCAAGTGGTTTGTTACACAGTCCTGTGCCCACTAAAGTGATCACATCTTATGAAACACATCATTCAACTCACAAACCAACCATTTGCTGGCAACAGCTAGCAAATTTAATTTCAGCTTGCTGTATATTTGCGCACTTAATGTCAAAGGGTTGCTTTACTCATAACGGCAGAAATCACTGAAGGATTCACCTAGACTTTAGAGGCTGCAGTCAATTTTATGATATACTACATATATCCATTTATTTAATCATTTGGAACGAAATGATAATAGAGTTTTCGTGCTGAAACTTCCCCTAAAGTACTCTCCAGATGACTGGGATTATTAGTCTTTTGTCATGAAAAGTAACCTTATCGGACATTGAATTATCCTTGTCATAGTCGCAATTTTCATCCCTCATCTTTGTGTCATTTTTCTTAAATAATGCTCATGCCTCTTAAATCACCAAGAAACCAGAGATTAGAAAGCTACAGCGTATTTCTTATACTATTTTTTGGAATAGAATGACAAAAAGATGACTGAAAATCAAGTTTGTGTATTCATGAACAGTTACCCTCTCTAAACATCATTATCAGTAATAAAGGCTGTTAGACCATTCGTAACCTCTTTCTCTGTGACTGACAGCACCATTTGAATGAGGATGTGCAGTTCAATAAAAAGGGAGGAGACGTTTCCTCATTAATTCTCTTAAGCCATTATCCACAATTTAACCTTGACCTACCTCTATCAAACTGCTTCCTAAGAAGGGGAAAAAAGCTATTGTTTGAAGCGGAAGTAATTTACCTGATGGCAAAAACATTTCGCCAAAAGAAAAAAAAAATAATAATAATCTGTGCCAGTCTAATTGGTTACTGACACATAAATGATTAACTCTAAACCAAAAGTGAAAATATTATTCCTACCATAATTACATTCCCTTTGAGTTTCTCACTGGCATGCTGTGCACATCAGCTCTGTGACACTTTGGTGCAATTTTGGAGTTTTGATTATAGTTGTTAGCAAGAACCCTTATTCTTCTTTTGTATTTTGGGTAAACATAGCAGTGGGCCTGGTGGGATATGAAGAGGGCTGGGGTTAGAAAATGAACTATAGGCAGGCTTCTGTGACTTTATTTTTTTTATAGTTAAAAATGAAAAAAAAAAAAGTTTAGGAGACATAACTTTAAAAAAGGCTGACAAAAAGTGCTTAAGCTAGTGTTTTAAAAATTCAGAGTATAGCAGTTTAAAGTGCATCCATTTAGGAATCTCTTTGAAGATATCACCTATGACAGAATGATGCATCTAAGAAAGCTACTGCATCACAGCGGTCGCAAGGCTTCCTACCAGAGGAAGATGTTACCGGAGTCATTTTGATTACTTCAAACCACGTCCCTGCTGAGGTGATCATCAGCACATAGCCTGATTAGATATTTCATGTGGTGCTGCTGCTAATTTACAACAACCGAGTTCTGTGGCTGTTTTGGGAGGAAGGGACATTGATATAAACCTCTATGTTTAACTCAATGACTCAGTGTTTTGGCTCAGCCATGTTCCACTGCACTCCAATTGCCCCTAGGGCTGTTATTCAGTTCTACTTTTAAAGTTGCCTGCACCATTTATTAACATTCAACTTTGACTCTGTTTAATGAGTAGATGATTAAATTATTTGTTTTGACTTGAATCATCTCAAAATAATCAACACATTAGCAAAAACAGATTCAACTCTGAAAGATGTCATATTTTTGCTGGACACTACTAGCAGTAACTTAACATTAAAAACCTATTTGATAATTGATGAGGATTTAAAACAGTAAAATAATACCACTGACTGCTCTATTTAAGGAGTATAAGGAGAGTAAACATACTTAAATTAGGATGATGGATATCATGTTCTCATTTGTTTTGACAGATACAACAATCTTGGTTAAAAAAGATGTACGCATGGCTTAAAAAAAACAACCTCCCAATTAAGTTCAGTTAAATTTGTTGCTTAATTCGCTTAAACCCACATTAGCTTGCTTTTGGCAGAGAGTGTCTCTGGTTAATCACTTTGATAACTTAATGGTTAAACTAATGAGAAAACAATTTTCTAACTGACTGTTTTGAAATGTTAAATTAATGCCGTGACTTTGTTTTCCTGAGTTTATGTATGAGATCAGCTCTGCTCATTTCACAAGTCAATGAAGAGCAAATTTGAAGCTTTCAACGCGCTTTTGAACAGATTGTGCAAAAGCCCAGTGACAAACAACTCTATAATCCCATGCTTGGAGTGGATTGATCTGTCGAGCATCATTAGCCTGGCAGGAAATAAACTGAAATTTGGGATTTTAAGATGTGTCTAAATGTTTTAGTGTCTTTCCTCATGCAAAATAGCAATATTTTGCATATCATGCATTTATCTATTATTTTCCCCAAATCTTTCTAAGCATTTTTTTTTTTTTGCTTTCTACATAGACTAATATTTTTCTGCTTTGAAGTTGTTTACCTTTGTAACATGACAACCTCATACTACAGTGTATTTTACTGGGAATGTATTTGATAGATAAACATAAAGTAGTGAATAAATGCTTTACCAAATTGTCAAAAAATTAAAATTAAATCATGGTAAGTATTAATTTAAGAAATCCTGAGTTAGGGAGTTTGTTAAACCAGCTACAGCTCTAGCTTCAGGATTGCATCTTTTCCCATTCTTCTGTGCAAAAAAGCATTATGTCTCACAGACAGTATGGAGGACAACTGTTAGCAAGAGTTTTCATAACTTTCCACAGATTCTCAACTACATTTAAATCTAGACTTTGAGCCGTTTAACCATATGAGTATACGTTGCTCTAAGCCCATTCATTTTAGATGTGGCTGTTTGTTTAGTAAAATTTTTCTGCTTTAATCTAATTTTGCTTTTTTAGACTTAGATTGTATTTGTCATTTTGTTTACACAAGTGTAAAACAAAAAGAAATTTCATTTTGAACAGCTCTCTGGACAATTTAATCTTTTTTAAAAGTGCAGCCTTGAAAAATAGTAAAAAAGACTGTAAATTTATAGTTCTAACTTTTTTTTGTTTATTTTTTTCAAGGTTTTCTTAAGAACTACTTTGTTTTTATTTCTGTTTGTGTTTCTATCAACTCTGACCTGCTTTCCAAATCCTAAAAAAAAGCATCCCCACAGCAAGAACCTTTTAGTACTGAATTTCGCTATAGGGATGCTATATAGCCAGAAATGTGTAGTCTTTTCAGCATATATAGAGCTTTGCATACAGGCTAAAGGTTCAGCTTTGGGGGTCACATGACCAAAACACCTCCATAAAAAGATTTGTGGCTGATAATTATAACATGAACAGCTGTGGATCACTGCAGCTACTCAGAGTTAGCACAAGTACCTAGTTTGAAGAGCCTCTCTTTGTAGAAGTGTAGATATTACTTTAAACCTGTTGACCTGTCATGGTTTCTTCCTTCTTAATGCTATCTTTGTACCTACATCCCCTAATAAAGCTCTAAAAGGTTTATTTATGTGTTTATTCTGAAATATAATTACACATGTATATATTTTTTTCCAATTCTGTTTGCTATTTTCTCTCAGTCCATCCCATAAATCCTCAATGAGAATCATTCATTATTCAGTCATTATTTGACTTATCTAAAATATTGCTTGTTTTTTCTTTTACATAGAACTGCATAAAAATATATTTTTTCCATGCCAAATAAAATAAAATATGCTTTGGACATCTTCATCTTGTATTCTGTTAGAGGTCATTCCTCCCCATACCTCTTTGGAGGGGACTCTGGATCCCTTCCGCCTTGACCACCAGCTTTCTACCATAGCAATGAGGCAGGAGAGCACCACACCAGCTGCTAGGACGCAGAAAACCCCAGCAAAGCTGTGGATATCGAGTGCGTTGCCACGCTGCCGTGCATGGTCTGAGCTGTAGAGGTCACACGGACTGTCCTTGGGCCACCACTTGAGTTTTAAGATGTCCATATCACCATTCTGCTGGAGTTCCAGAATTCTAGGATGCAGAAAAGAGACAGAAGTATGTTATAAAGAGATCCAGACAACATCTTCTAATTAAAAAACAAAACAAAAAAAACCCTGTCTTTTTTCAAACAAGATATTAGGTTTCTATTGAAGCATACAGAAAGCATACAAGTAAATAAGAAGGCAAAAGAATTAGGGTAAAAAAACAGCTAATTAATGGGACTTGAGTAGAAAATGGTTCTTACCCATTCAAAAAGAGATAGAGAAAATAAATGATCTGCATGAATCATCTGCACAACACCCAACCTTGGATTGCAGCAGTTCTAACTCCTTTCCACCATTTGAGGGCAGTGTTGGACAGCTGAAACTCCACAGAATGAACTTATACCCATATTGGGCTGTCAAACTCATTATGACTAACATTAATATGTTTTGCAGCACAGCACAAGTATGCTGCCACAATGTCATTATGCAGCTTAGCTTTAGTCATACGATTGATGGCTTCAGAGAGGATACAGCTCAGAGGTTGATGGGGTCCCTCTGTTAGCCTTCAGTTTATTATTTAACTGGGCTGTTCGTTTGGGTTTCAGGAGCGCTGCAGATGGAGGCACTCTGAGAACAGCTTATATTTAATAAGAGATCTGACATGAAGCAGAGAGAGGTGCGTGAAAAAAGGAAATCATAAAATGAGGAAAGAGGAAAATAATACCATCACATGCACATACATACAAAGTGAGACAGCCCAGTGTCTATTAATGCACAAAGGCAAACATGATCTAAGAAATGAAGTCACAAGCTTGATTGCAAACATGTCCAAGCAAACCTAATAAGGATTCTGCCTTGTACTAATGGTGATTTGCATAACTTCCTTGGAGCGTATTCCTAAATCAGTTTCAGTTACAAGAAAGAAAGAAAGATTTTAGATGTAATATTTTGGTGATATACTGTAAAGCTGATCCTCACTGTTGGTAAAAAGGGTAACAACAAAAAAGATATTGGCTGAATAGTAGTGCTGTTATAACATTCTTGGATTGAATCCCAAAAAACACTTTTTTTTTCCTGTGGAGTTTCCTTCAGCCACCCTCTCTCTATCCATGGATGGATGGATGGATGGATGGATGGAAGGAATGATGGAAGTATATAGCACTAAGATTTGACCAAGCTCCAATTTAAGAACAAACAAACAACTGTGATACTTGTGCAGTTAAAAAAAAACTCTGTTACAAGCTCAAAACCATCCTTTGTGCTAATCAGAAGAAAATACATCAAAGCTTAAAAGCATTTTTAACAAATAATAAACACGCAATTCAAACATGAGCAATTTTTGAAGATGCAAGGCTATAACACTACTGAAGCAAATGGTCTCTAATAACACTATAAGGATGTTTTCTATTCTAGAAATACTTTGGTGTAAGCAAGATGAAGCACTGGGGCCACAAACACCTGCCGCAACCTCTTCAGTTGATTACTTTGCCAGTGCACAAATGTTCAAGTTTGCCTAAAGAGGTGGAGTTACTTAACTGGGAGCTTTACTTTGCATGAGCTTCATTTCCCAGACTAGAGGCTTCATTAAAACCATGAATCTCAATGTATCATCCAGGAGACAGTGGCTGAATGTACTGCTTAAAAGTTGAAGAACACCAAGCTTAGGGGTTACACAAAAGAGCTGGAGCTTACTAATCAATTTTCAGCTATTTTCACACAAACGTTAATATTGTCAGAGTCAAAAGATAGTTTTGACTAAGATGGAAAAAAAATTGTTCTGAAAATGGTCAATAGAATTTTTAAAAGTTGATTTTATCAACTAGTGTCTCAATTGTTTTTTTCAATTATGCCAAACCAAATTTCTCATGAGCATAACTGGTGTCCTTTGGAGGTATAAGGGAATTTATACCAGACCCACACTAGGAACATCCTCCCACAGTTTAGCTTTTATGTCATGAATGATACTAGTATTTCCCAAAGGACTGAGACTCAAAGTTGTGTTGCTGTCAGACTCAAAGGAACTCTATATCCTTCTGGGTTAGCAGTGACTTTCACCATGCATTTCTCCCATGAATGACATCATCTTCCATGTCTTTCAGACAGTGGAGTCATGAACACTGACCTTTACTTAGATAAGAGACCTGGATTCCCTTAGTGGGTTTCATTTGATCTCTTGAGTGGTTTTTTTGAAGATCTAATACATCCAATGCCCTCTGTGGTTGTTATTGCTTTCTGTGGGTGTGTGGAGTTTAAATGCTCTTGTTAATACAATAAAAAAAGAGACCCAAACTGTAAAATGTACCTATAAATGCAGAAATTATTAATTAAATAATAATCAAACTGACTTTTAAGATTGAAATGAAAAGGAAAAGTAACACATTATTTAAGCATTGATGAAATCTAATCATTATTTTACTCATTTTAAGAAAAGTGAAACATCAAAACAAGTGTAAAAAGAAATGAATAATCCTTTCTTTTGGCAGATTTATGCATTTTGTTTCATATATATATATATATATATATATATATATATATATATATATATATATATATATATATATATATATATATATATATATATATATATATATATATATATATATATATATATATAAAAAACATATACTATGCTCTGTATTTACTTGTTATGATCAACAGGCCATGGAAACCAGAATCCAATGCTAATGTGGCAGAGCCTCTTTCTTAATACAAGGTGTAGAGATATGGTGTGAATTACTTATTAATTAATTAATTTAGGTTAGGGTGAGGAATATTCTGGTAATACGTTAGGGTAAATGTCAGGATAAGGTATAAATCCCGTAAATAAAACGAATGTCAGTCAATGTGGTGGCTGCAGCTCCTCAGACAGCAGAGAGGATCATCAGGGCTCTTCTTCCCTCCAGTAAGGACATTTCATCCCAGCGCTGCTTGTCCCGAGCCTGTAACATCATCGGTGACCCCTCACACCCCCACCATGAACTTAGGAATTTGCAAATATTTTCAAGGCTGAACAACTAGTTGCACCGGAGTGCATAAACATTAATTTTCCCTCCATAAATAATTGAGAGGGAAAGTATCTTTGTTGAAATGGGTTTGTAGAAGGTTTTTGTGGTTTTTCTTGGGCTTTTCTGTAAACGAATGACAATGTTTGATTATCCTTTTTGCTCACTGTATACAGCACCTATTCTTTTAAATTGAATTTTTCTAATAAAAAAGATAAAAAAAAACAAAAAAAAAAACGACTCTCCCTGCTGCACTCTCGAAAGAGGTTTCACGGCATTCGATGCAGGACCAGCAGGTTCTGCAACAGCTTTTCCCCCTTGCCATCAGACTGTTGAACTGGTGAAACTCTAATCAAGTCACAAATCGAAACAATCGAGATATTTAAATGCCTTTTCTTCTGATCACTGCTGCACTTTACAAATGGAAATGTTAATTTCTTCGCTGTATGCTGCTTATTCACTGTTGGAAAGCTGTATGCATTTAATCGACAATAAAAAGAAAATTAAGTTCGTCTAAGTTTAAGTCTAATTCATGTAATGTCCTAATATATGTATAAGTACAAAATTGTGTGTTTGTGTGAGCGTCCAATTAAAATGATAACAGATCCATGGCCTACTCTCTTTTCATGCACTCCTTGTTTCGGTTGGTATTGTGTTTTTCCTGTATTTTAGGTTTTCTTTTTTTATATAAATTAGGCCTACTGTACCTTTTATATCAAAAGTATGTCATGAAAAAGTAAGATCTAATAATTTGTATTTTTTTGTGCCTTAAAGGATCAATAAAAAAAATATGCTATTTATTTTTGCTTTTTTTTTCACTCTATTGTTTCAAGTACACACATGGAAAATCATTGTATCATTATGTCTGTCTAATCACGTAATGAAAATAAATAAGTAAATTAATAAATCAGACATCATTAAACACTCACTACGTGAGTAGTTTTTCACACAATATTTTACTCTAATCAAACATTTTTTAATATTCTTTCTTCAGTTAAAATATGTTAATGTTGCTATCCGACATCTTCCTTTTAAAAGGTTCTTTTTAACAAATTCTTTAAGAGAATTTTTTACTTTCACAAAATCACCCATAAAATCTACTAGCCTAGTGCAAACAAAAAAGCAAAAAAAAAGAATAATAAAATTCAGGTGTATAATAAGCACAATTCTAAATCTTAAAAACATTTCTGTATTTCTCTTGAATCAAAAGGATGAAGAAGATACCCTGTCAGTAAGCTCTCGCTCCAAGCAGCTAATTTGCTTCTTAAAGTTAAAACACACCCTTGGCAATTTGTTTTTAGTGAAAGCATCAGAGAGATTACAGACAAATTCATGTGAGTTCAAGCAAGACTGCTTTCCCCTCAAAACAACAGTGAGCTTTTTACACACTTCTGACCTTTTTATCTGTCACTCCTTTCAACAGATGCTTTACACACCGAGTCAACCTTAAGCCCCAACACACAGCTTCATAGAAAGGTGTATTACATGCACTTTAATGAGATAGAAAAAGAGCAATCCAAACGACGACAAAGACACTCAATGTTTTGTCAAAATATCTCATATCCTCATATCCTGCGATGTAATTTAGCCATCTTTTAAAGAAGTGTCGTCAGCCTTTTTTTCTTTAAATGTCTGTCAAAATAAGGGCACACGTTTTGTGAAGTGGTCAGTTATCTCTTCTTACAAGCTGACTGTTCATTTGAAATAAAAATATCTTACCAAAGTAATTTTGTGACACTTATAAACCTATCATGGTTTTTTTATGCACTTCAACATTTCCGAATATTGTCATAAAACTGTAATATTGAGGCACTAAATAAGTGCAGACAGATTCTGGGGAGATGTTTACTTTTGACATTTCTAAGAAAAATTCAATCATTATTGAACGAGACAAGTGTGAAATTATGTGTATTAAGCTGACATCTTATGCATAAATATGCCAGACATCATACAAGAAAATCTATACGACTATGAATTTTTACGAGTTTAATCTATAACTCATAAAAGATAGATTAAAAGGTTGCCAAATAGTAAACAGAAAAGG